AAAAAAAGAAGGCAATGGCAAATATCTGAGAAAGACTGCAGCTGGTAGAGTGAGATTTGGGGAATGCTGAGAAAGGAGCAGGGACTTTAAAAGATACAGCACAAACTTTGAGGGAGAAGAGGCGTAGCAAGAGGGTGAATGGGTACAACAATACAAAATTTGGAATTTGAGAGTATTCATTAACTTGTTTATTAAAATATTCTGTGAGTTTACTAATGCACCACCTTCTCTTCTGGACCCTCAGGATATGAATGTGAGTATGACAAACAAGGTCAGCTTCTCTTTGGACCCTAAGAAAATGAACATGAAGATGACAGACAAGGACTGTGCTCTCAAAATACTTACATTCTGGGGAATTAATTTAAAGAAAGGACGACTATGCTGTGTGCTACGTACATACACCACACTTATGAATTGAAGTGTGACTACAAAAGATAGGTGGAAATACCAATCTTCAGTGATAATTAATTTGTTTGCAGAGCTAATTAAAAGATGAGGACATTAGTGTGAATCTTAGGAGAAGAAAGGAGGCACAGAGAGATACAAAGCAGACCAGTCTGTATGAAGAGACAAATGCTAGAGAGATGCCTCTGTGTACCAAGAAATACCAGAGATTGCAGACAATCACCAGAAGGTTGGAACACACCAAAAAGTGTTAAAGTATATAGGGAAAGTTTCTCTACTCCTGCTTTGGTTTCTGTAAACAGTGATCTCATTTAAAAGGCTGCTTTTTGTCTGGATGCTCGGTTGCAGGCAATCACAGCTGCTAGTCTTCCATCAATCACAGACATTCTACATTTTAAATTGTGTAAATGTGGACAAACTTCTAGATGTAACCAATCCAATTTTATCAACCTCATCCCTTTACTTTCATTTTTGTATGGAACATTCTCTTCCTGTACATGTCACTTCCCTTTCCAGTAACTTTATTTTTACTTTATTACCTTTGTATTTATTTTTTTTAATTTTTACATTTTTATTACATTTTCTTTTATACATTAAATCACATTATTTAGCTTACAAAGTATTTCAACATGTGAACATTTCTCCCTAGTCCAGTTGATAAAACTATAAAATATCTCCAACAGATAATATCACATTTCTTTGTCCCATTAATGTTTTGCCTCTCTATTTTTCTTCTAAATGTCCTTCCCCAGACCCTACTCTTTTACACACACTATATCTGGTATTTACATCCATATACTGTGTTTCTATATCCTTTAGTCCATCAGTTTCAGTCATAGAGTACAGACATTCGGTATATATTAAGTGGGGACATACAATGTCTCTCTTTCATAGCCTGGCTTGCTTCACTCAGCAGTAAATCTTTCATATTCTTACACTTTCTGCCAAAAGCCAGGGTTTTGTTGTTTTTGGGTTTTTTTATGGCTGAATAGTATTCCATAGAGTATATGTGCCATAATTTTTCTATCCATTCATCTGTTCATGGGCATTTGGGTTGGCTCCATGACTTAGCAATTGTGAATAGTGTCACCTGAATGCGAGACTCCTGGGTATGTTAGGAATTTGTTTCAAGAAATTTCCCGATTTGAATTGTGTTTAGTTTTGTTTAGTTAAGCTCAATTAAATTAAAATTGTTTGAAGTTTTTTTTTTCACTTAACACAGGATATCTTCTTCTCCAGTTTCAGGGGCAGCAAGGCTCTGCAAAATCTTC